TGGGACAGACCGTGAACAAGGAAGCAGATGATGGTGAAAGCTAAGATGGCACTGCCACTTTGGGAAATCAAGGATATGAAAGGAGTTTGAGATTAAGATGGAGGTGATAATATTTAGCCAGCCAGTGTGCTACAAACTTTTCATCTCTACATGTGTCTGACTCCTACAATTCTGCTTTAAAATGACCTTGTCAGCATAGGGTCACTCTATACAAACACTTAAAGCAGAACTACACTGTACCACAAACCAAAACCACTATTTAATTTTTAATAATCAAAGCACACTCACCCACCCATCCCTCCATGCTTTAGTTTGCTAAGAAATCACTCTGAAACCCCCCCCCCCCCCCACCTAACATTTCTGGCAGCAGCCATCTTGAGTAAGAGCACAGATGATTCAGGTAGCATTTACTTCCTGTACTCCATCTGTCCTTAGCTCAGGCAAGCAGCTAGGAGGGTGTGCTTTGCAGAGAAAACCCCTCCCCCTCCTGAAGACTCCTGGGATGTATGCCATAATTTGCCTAGGCCTGGAAATAAGTGATGGAAAAAAAAAAGTTCAAAAGTAAATATAACTGTTCCTATCTATTTACTAATGCTAGCAGTATAAGGATAAAAAAGCCAATGTTGATTGAGAGATTGACGTTCTGCTTTAAAGAAGAACATCATAATTACCTTTTACTGCTGGCATCTGTACATGTTCCTCATTTCTGGGTGTGTGGAATACCTGCTCCCTGCTGCACAGGATAACGCCTCCCTTCTCACTGCAGGCATAGTCCAAAATGGCAATCCTTTGGCTTGTGAAAAACAGCTTCCTTGTGTGTTTCATCCTTGTATTTAGAGGTTTGCTTAGTGCTCAGCTCAAAGCTTTGGTTATCCATATATATGAGATGAGTGGTCCCGCTACCCCCACTAAATAGAGGCACAATAGAATCCAAAACACAGGCACTAGTTGAGAAGTTTAATTTTGCTTAATGTTTCATGAATAATTAATCAAATTCTGGTTTCTTATATCTACCTGGGACTAAATGAAATATCTCCATCAATATTTTCCTTTCCAAGCAACTTTTTTTAGAAGTACTCTAAGCCAAATAATAAGCCATTCTGCCCCATGGCAGAATAAAGGGGAAATCCAGCAGCAGGATACAAAGCAAGTTGATCCCTTTATTTACTATGCACATATACACTCAACGGCCACTTTATTAGTTACACCTACACCTTGCTAGTACCAGGTTGGACCTCAGAACTGCCTTAATTCTTTGTGGCATAGATTCAACAAGGTGTTGGAAACATTCCTCAGAGATTTTGGTCCTTTTTGACATGATGGCATTACACAGTTGCTGCAGATTTGTCGGCTGCATATCGATGATGCGAATCACATCCCAAAGGTGCTCTATTGGATTGAGATCTGGTGACTGTGGAGGCCCCATTGGAGTACAGTGAACTCATTGTCATGTTCAATAAACCAGTTTGAGATGATTTGAGCTTTGTGACATGGTGCATTATCCTGCTGGAAGGAGCCGTCAGAAGATGGGGACACTGTAGTTATAAAAGGATGGACATGGTCAGCAAAAATACTCAGGTAGGCCGTGGAATTTAAACGATGCTCAATTGGGGCCCAAAGTGTGCCAAGAAAATATCCCCCAACCATTACACCACCACCCCCAACCTGAACCGTTGATACAAGGCAGAATGGATCCATGCATTCATATTGTTAAGCCAAATTCTGACCTACCATCTGAATGTCGCAGCTGAAATCAAGACTCATCAGGCCAGGCAACGTTTTTCCAATCTTCTATTGTCCAATTTTGGTGAGCCTGTATGAATTTTAGCCTCCGTTTTCTGTTCTTAGCGGACAGGATTGGCACCCAGTGTGCTCTTCTGCTGCTGTAGCCCATCATCTTCAAGCTTCAAAGTGTTGTGCATTCAAAGATGGTTCTCTGCATACTTTGGTTCAAGATGATAGAAAAGGCAACAGAAACTCCACTCATTACAACCAGTCTGCCCATTCTCCTCTGACATCAACAAGGCATTTTTGACCACAAAACTGCCTCTCACTGGATATTTTCTCTTTTTCAGACCATTCTCTGTAAACCCTAGAGATGGTTGTGCATGAAAATCATAGCATATCAGCAGTTTCTGAAATACTCAGCCTGTCTGGCACCAACAACCATGCCACATTCAAAGTCACTTAAATGCCCTTTCTTCTTGAACAGGTGTACCTAATAAAGAGGCCAGTGAGTGTGTATATATACACACCGGTGTTTTTATCTATCTATATATATATATATATATATATATATATATATATATATATCAATACTGGGCTAGGCTCTGTAAAATAAATAATAAACTGATGCATGAATCAACCCACCTATGCACACCTAAAATTAATTAATTATAAGCATTGTGCAAAGTGAGATTACAATATTGGTACATCCTTAGTAGATTGGAAACTCTAATGAGCAGGCCCCTCTGTTTCCTCTTGTACCAAACTGTATTGTAACTGTAATGTCTATCTTCATTTTGTAAAGAGCTGCGCAAACTGTTGGCGCTATATAAATCCTGTATAATAATAATAGTGAAAATTGAAAGAAAGACACTTGATCATTGGCACCTGAAGCTACGTATATTCCTCTGAAATGATTTCACACTGCTGTTTTCTACAATGATGGAAAAGAGTTTACAGAACACAAAAACTAGAAATTCAAAAAACAAACATACTGCAACTCAACTGGAAGGTTGGAAATGTTTATTAGTTGGAACTCGTCCAGACTTTAGCCTACTGTTTCCACTAGACCTAGCATGATACTTGCTAAAACAAAGCCAAGAAACTATTAATCAGAATGCCGGAAAATTATGGGGATACATTTACATTTAAGTATTGTATAAACATCTATGACTGGTGGGAGATAAGTGAAAGAATACTGTACTGTCTGGTTTGACAGGCAATCTGTATTATAAGACACCAAATAATACAAGTCATAAGTATCATGTGTGTCCCAGCTTCCCCACCCGCTGTTCTGACCTAGGAGCAGAGAAGTGTTGCCTCCCTGGAAGCTACGCATATCACCAAAGAGGTCTATGAAGCCAGTGGAGAGAGAAGAAAAAATATAGACTGAAAGGCAGTGGAAAGAGCTACGGGACAACCAGGTGATTAAATGATAGAACATGGAGCAGCGTAATTTAAAATGCATCCCTAGAATCTAATTATCAGTGTTTACTATAGCGGAACACTGAAGAAATTAATATAAATTTATAGTGGTTATAAACTCTTACATATACCCAGTGAAGTGACTTGCCTCAGGTGATACACAGAGATGAAACAAATCCTCCTACACAAGTTGTACCTGTCTATCTACAGTCTTCTATTTTATACATTTGTTCAAAGTCTATCATTTATAAAGCTTGACAAGTTCAGATAAAGGGGATTGAAAAGCTAAAATTACACACTGCAGAGCTCAGTGAGCAGAGCTCTGGGAGCTGATTGGGGGAAGAAAAACACTCCCCTCCATACAGTCCATAGGAACAGAGCTAAGGCTGTCAATCTGCTTGAGGTCCCTCCCCTGTCACCACTTTTCTCTTGATGTCAGGAAAACTTGTCAGAAGTGATTCATGCTGATCGCAGAGGAATGAAGCAGCAGACAGAAATGACACTTCGTGCTCTTAGTTAAAACAAGTACACACTATAGAGGGATGTGCTTTGTTCATATTTCATGTTTGACATTTATAACCACTTTAAAAGAAAAGCTTGTTTTTCTAGGCCTAGGGATTTATGTCAAAAGGTATATTCCCAGCTCAAGTCTTGAAGTCTGCTGCTGTGGACATCTACTACTAATTTTCAATGTAGGACAGCTAACAGAAAGCAGAGAAGACTAATAAATAACTTTTACCAGCAGAAATTCAATGGTTGCCAGTGCTCTTCAATCCTAGGCAACTCAGAAAGAATGATAGTTAAGAATATACAACTGGACAAGCATAGGATTATTTTCTTGATATCCTATGTAACTAGCTTATGATATCCAATTGATAGAGCACCATTGGTAGGTCTAGAGCAGAGGTCTCCAAACTGTGGCCCGAGGGCTGGTTGCGGCCCTTTGCTAGCCTATATCTGGGCCTTGAGGTACTATAATTCTGAATGATACAAGACACTATTCCTTCCACTGACGACAATAATGGTTCACTATTCCTCCCACTTATACCAATGATGGGGCACTATTCCTCCCACTGATACCAATGTTGGGGCACTATTCCTCCCACTGACACCAATGATGGGGCACTATTCCTCCCACTCATACCAATGATGGGGCACTATTCCTCCCACTGATACCAATGATGGGGCACTATTCCTCCCACTGATAGCAATGATGAGGCACAATTCCTTCCACTAATACCAATGATGGGGCACTATTCCTCCCACTGACACCAATGATGGGGCACTATTCTGCAAACTGACACCAATGATGGGGCACTATTCATCCTACCAATACCAATGAGGGGGGCAGTACTCATCCTCCAACTGACCACCAACCTTGAAGTGATGTTTATTCTCACTGATGCTGGGCCTGGGACATTTTCTATCCTCACTGGCCACAATGCGGCCCCCCTAAAGTCTGAAAAATAGTAAACTGGCCCTTTGATTGAGAAGTTTGGAGACCCCTGGTCTAGAGTGATACAAAAAAAACAAAAACATACAGACATGTATGGTATTCGCTCCTGCTCAACATGTCACTTACATTCCCCCAAACACTGGTAGAGATGACCATATTGCATACACAGGGCACTCATAGGACTGGCATAACTACTGGTAGAAAGGCCAGTTGATAGATATGATACCTCTAGAAAAGCAATCTCAGGCAACCCAGGTACTGAGTAATTTAGTAAACATTAGGTTCTACCAAGCAGGGATGTAGCAAAGACAGGGTAAAAAAAAAAAAATGAATGGTTCCGATAATGCTCATTCAGGGCCACACCCACACATGCACACGGGCACACAGAAGTTACCCAGGAGTCTCCACCCCATATTTCCCAGCTCCGCCCTCTGGAGATGCGAGATCGATGTGCCTTGTTTGAGAAATAATGTAAACGCTACAGCAAGACCAAGAGAACAAATATTTAGCATTTCCGTATTTGAACTTTAAAAGCAGAGATCCCAAGAATCAATCTTAAAAGGAAGGTATTTCTTGAACAAGAAACAGAATGGAGTTATGCCATGAAAACAATACAATTTGTATATCTTGTTGCTATGCATCCAATGGAAACCCTGTACAAACCCAATATTGCTGCAAATATGCAAAAACATACACACATTTTATATATAATCTACAAATACCATATTTCCTTGTAACTATTTTTGGACAAAAAAGGGATGTGTTCCCTCCCCATGATGTTCCCCTTATAAGCAAAAGTAGTATCCTTTCATATTACAGGTAACCATGCTCTACAGAACAAAGACTGATCATTCACATTCAATATCCAATATTCTTGTAATAAAATCATTTAAATACAGCCCTCCGTGTTGTACACTAACAAAACTGTGCTTTGCCTTCACTCTCCTGTAAGAAACAGACTGCAGGCAACACTAATCCTGTATTAGGGTGTTTATCATAAAATTACAATTATTAACTACAATTTAATATTATGATCCCCATGAAATAACTGATTCACTCTTAAAGCAGCGCTGCTTAAGAGATCTAGAATTGTAGATGATGGTCATAGGTGCTCGAAGAGGATTGATTTCCACCATTACACTACATGGTGAATTCACAAACAAATAGGGGAAATTTTGCTTTCCTTAAAATCCTCCTGTGACAATAAAATGAAAGGCAAATGAACAGATGGTGCGGTTTATTGCAGTCTCAGTCTACTAAGACACTGCTGAATTTCAAAGTGAGATAAATTAGGGTACTTGTGACACCTCAAAGAAATGAAGATGGAGGCTTTGCCCTTAAATGTATTCAGGAAAAACCTTGTTTTTGCTATAAGGCCCTATATTCAAAAGGTTGCAAAACTGATGTACAAATCTACTAATCAGGAGCAAAATTTCTTGTGTAATGTTCAGTAAATAGAATGTACAAAATTGTCCTGTTATTTTTTTCCAATGGCATATGGGTTTACACATGCAAATTTTTGGAAACTGTGTTACTGATCTGAATGCAGAGCATGTTCACACAACTGTGTGAATGTCTCTATTGAAAACAATGCAGCTGCATTTAAATGGTTGGAAATGCATTTTTTTTGTACCCATGTGAATGGGGCCTAAGAATGAAAAGGTGAAAGGCAACAAAGTGCAATGTTTTTCAACTCAAGGGCCACCATAAAGCCAAGTTCATAGCATCCACTTTTACAGGCTGGATTGTATATACTGTAGTTACAGGGCCACTTTTAATAAATTTAATAAATTCAGTTGAATGTGACTAACTACTACTGGCTATGGGACCAGGTTTTAAGCACCTATAGTCAAATAAATGAATGGTTATTTGTGATTGGCTGCAATGGCTCAAAACTGACCAAGTAGAGGCAGACATCTAGCCAATATCAGTGGACAGGGAGACATAGGCCAATTGTTGCATGGCACTAGGACCCAGCCAAAGGATGGATGCCGGACTCGGGTGAAGGATGAATGTGGCGATCATAGGACAAAAGCTTGCTTCCCTATAAACAATAAAGAAGTAACAATTTGTCAAGTCATAAAGTCCTTAGAAGCCCTTGAGAAAGTGTTGTCTACGCCTGGAACCTTGCACCATTTTGGAAGCTGTAAAATGCATAGTTAAGGGAATTTCCCAAAACAGCAGATAAGCCCCAGGGATGAGATCAATGACTACTTACCTGTCAAAATGTCTGATATGAGGATGATCTACACACAGATATAATTGCTAGAAGTGCTCATTAACACACCTCAATAGGGCCTTAATGTGACAAAGTTGTTGTTACATCAACTGCTTTTTTCAGGTTAAATATGGCCACTTTTACCACACACTTCATTTGGTTTTATGTAAAATGCCTAACCTAACTTCTCCCAGTTCCTACAGACTAATGCAGGCCATAGATGGGTCGAAAATCGGCCGATTTTTCTTTAAAAAAAACGAAAAATCGGTCGTTCAAGCGGCCGACGTTACCAGCAACGGTTACGAAGAAAAAAAAAAAAAATCAGCCGATTTTCATCCCGTCTACAGCCGGCAAAAAGTGTCCCTGCAGAGAGCTCCGCTATTTCTTTGACAGTTCCTTAACATTTATAACGGTTGCAACATTGTATTTGTATCCATTTAGGATACAGATGTTTTTATTCGGAAACAAATAGATACATTGTTGCAACCGCTATAAATGTCAAGGAACTGTCAAAGAAATAGCGGAGCTCTCTGCAGGGATTTTTTGCCGGACTGGAATTCCTCTTCTTCTTCTTCATCCTCCTCCTCTTCATCCTCCTCCTCCTCCTCTTCATCCTCCTCTTCATCCTCCTCCTCCTTATCCTCCTCTTCATCCTCCTCCTCCTCTTCATCCTCCTCCTCCTCCTCCTCCTCTTCATCCTCCTCCTCCTCCTCCTCCTCTTCATCCTCCTCTCATCCTCCTCCTCCTCCTCCTCTTCATCTTCATCCTCCTCCTCCTCTTTCTTCATCCTCCTCCTCTTCTTCATCCTCCTCCTCTTCTTCATCCTCCTCCTCTTCTTCATCCTCTTCTTCTTCTTTTTGTCTTCCTGTTGCAGGTCACTGCTCATGTGCAGATTTTTTTATTGGTAAAAAGATCGGCCGATTTGCCCATCATTGCCGCGAAAATCGGCCGATCGGCAAAATCGGTCGATTTTTTTCCAACTTTACTGATAAAAAAAATCTGCCAAAATACCGAAAAACGGCCGAACAATTAGCCCACTAACGATCTGAAAATCGGCCGATTTTATTTTCAGCCGAAAAAATCGGCCGATTTTCGACCCATCGATGGCCTGCATTAGTTGTATGAAACATCAGTGTAGCTGACAAATGACTGTCCACATAGGAGTAGGAGACAGATGAATTTTAATTACATGTCACAGAGAAAAATGAGGGCATGTCTTCAGAGAGGCTAGGGATGAACTAATTAGCCTTTCTTCCAATTTTATCTGCTCTTATGATCACTATTCAAAGCAAATTCTATGAATGCCTTTTCTGACAACTGTGATTAATGTAATTGCAAGGAATAACCAGTAAGTTCCTTCCTTGCAGAAATGCAATAAAATAGCACTTTGGCAAATCGCATATGACGACATGAATATAATTCTCTATTAACAAAGTTCACTAGAAACAAGGGAGGTCAGCCCAATAGTGACATAGATGTAATAATGCTGATCTGTATGTATATAGCAGAACAAAGCTGCAAACCTTTCTTATATCAACTAAATAGATCTTGATATACAGTATTGTGCAGGTGTGATAAAATGCTGAAAATTAAGAGTGTGTTCAGAAATAGAAGCGTTAATAGCTTTTTTTTTTTTGTTTTAGCATTTTTTCAAACCCGCCTAAGACTTTTGCGCAGTGCTGTATATATTGTGAAAATGCATTTGACATTTGAGATCAGGTTAAGACTCCTCGGAGATCATTTAAAGTTCATTGACAAGTGCACCTACTTCAAGTTGCTTCCTATTGATTTGTATGGTGCGGGGGAAGAATCAATTCTGATACGAACTGCTCAAGTGCAATCACATATGCATTAAAGGCCTAAGTTGAAGAACATTTGTTTGCTTCAGTTCTGCATTCGCATATAAGTCTTTGGGGAAGAAAAAAACCTACTTGGAGCAGGTGAAATGCAGGTCAGAAGGAGGTTGCCTGCAGGTCCAAAGCAAATCTCAATGAATTCTGAACGATCGCTGAAGAGTCTCAAACTGATGCCATCAACACAAGCCCAAAGCCCGTCGACATGAGCCCTAAGATATTGACTGATAGCAGTTCTGTTTTCCTTTGAGGGTGAGATCCCATGTGAAAGGCCAATTACTTAAACTACAAGTGACCATTCAGCACTCCCAAATTAGAGCTGAGAGGTGTTCTAAAGATTTTGAGAAAGCCGCTTAAAGTACGTGGGGATATGTTAATATGTATTCATACTAAACTATGGCAGTTTAAGGGTCCATGCACACTTGGCTTAAAAAAAACCCCAGCTCCCTTGACAGAAAAAAAAAAATAATATACAGCATTCTTGTATAGGAGCTTTTAGGAGCATTCAGCATTTTTTTTTTGTCAAAAAACTGCTATCAAAAACACAAAAAACAGAAGGGTTTTTATTTCTGCCTCTAAATACTGAGATTAAAATATTCCTCTAAACTTCCTAATATGCATGGACACACAGGATAACATTGAGCTGCTTCCACAGTCAAAATGCAAAACTCCTGTAAAAGCAGCATTTTTTTACACCAGTGTGCATGGTTGGCCTCATGCACACTGGACCTTTCATCAGCGGCTTCTAGGGGTGTCCGGCGTTTTTAATTTCCTGCCTTGACACCCTCCTGAATGTTAGCCTATGTGTCCATGCATACATAAACTTTCAGAGGAGTTTAGTGGCAGGAGAGTTTAGAGGCAGGGAAAAAACCCACTACCAGTGTGTGCAGGAGCAGCTGTGTTTTGGCAGAAAAAACACGTTTGATGCCTGTAAACGTAACTAAAAACATGTAATGCTAGGAGCATTTAGCGCTTGAGCATGAATTCATCCAATGGCCAGAATAAATTAATATTCCGGTCAATTAAATGAATTAACGCCCAAGCAACTGATGCGCCTATATGCATTTACAAGTGTCAAGCACTTTTTTTCTGCCAAAACACTGTCGCCAGAAGGAGAGTCTACTAGGAGAGTTTGCAAAACATCCTGTGTGCATGAGGCCTTAAAGCGGCCTTCTTTATAAAAAAAAAAGAAAAAAAAAAAAAAAAAAACCCTGCAAGATGGCATAATGCACTGCATACTAGCACATTATGTGAAACTTGCCTTAAAACGAAGCCCTCCAGCAGCACGTTGTCACCGCTGACAGGGCTTTTTATCTTCAACCCGCTCCTTCTAGTGGCTTGAATGGCCGAGCCGCGATGACATCACTCCTGCCCATGCGCATGGGAGTTACTGTCGATGGCAGACAGCTATAAAGGAACGGCACAGGGATGCTGTTCCTTCAGAATGCATGCGCCGCTGCTTTACACATGTAAATATCTCCTAAACAATGCACATATAGGAGATATTTACAGTACCTATAGGTAAGCCTTATTATAGGGTTTCCTGTAGGTATAAGTACAAAAACTTTACTACTTGACTTTACTACCACTTTACCCCTTTCGCATGACCCTGACAGCAGGAGATTTTATACACAACCCAGTGACTGCAGCCACCGGGATTGTGTATAAAATTTACAGGCAGACTCCCGACTGTGAGGTTGAAGCAGTAAGGGGGCTCTGATGCCGCCGACTGCTTCCACAGCCCCCGTATCTGGTACCCCCTCACCAGGTAAGCGCGCACACGTTATGTAACTGAGCTCTGTTGCCCATCTCTGAGCCTGGAGAGAGCCATAGCGGGTGCTGGCGGGTGGAGGCAAGAGAGAAGAGTGGATGAACGTCTGCTCCACTCCCTTCCCCTTGTGTAACCTGGAAGACTACGTCTATGATGTCACTTCTGGGTCATGGCTGTCATTTTCCTGGCTAGAATAAACAGGGAAAGATGTATTGCAATGTGGCTTGCATTGCAATACATAAAATGGATCACAGAGGTGACATGCGGGGTCTTTGTCTCAATAAAGAGAACCTGTCACCAAAAAAAAAAAAAAATCATATAGGGGACTATGTGTATGAAAAAAATAAGTAAAAAAAAAAAATCTTTTCTGTAAAAAAAAAAAAAAAAAAAAAAGAAGAAAGAAGGAGCACATAACATACACCCCCCCCCAAAAAAAAAATGTTCACTCCGCCCACCTCCACATATACGCATATAAAATGCACACACAGGGCACCTACGCGTGAATATGTCAATTGCGATACACGTTACATATCGCCAAGCACGCCGGAGTGAGAGCAAGAATTCTACCACAAGACCTCCTCAACGCTAAACTGATGACTTATAGGGGCTTTTGAAGCATCGTCTATAGAAAATATAGGGTATTGAAGTTTGCCACTATTTCACAGGCGCACAAAAATTTACGGTTTGACATGTTGGGCATCTGTTTGCTCAGCCCAACCTCGTCTTTTATATTTTACCAAAAATGTGGATAATTTATTACCCTAAAATTCACTTTAGTGTGATTTTTACTGACATTTTTTGTTTCCTAGACCTTTGCAATAATATCACGTGACATAAAAAATTGGAACCATCACCATTTTAGTCCCCAAGTTGTCTGCTCTTTCAGAAAATATATAAGGTTTGGGGGTTATGTGTAATTTCAGACTTAAAATGATTTCTTAAACATGTGTGCAAAAAATGGCTTTGGCAGCGAAAAGATTAATGTGCATAGGTGGTCAGCCTAATTGATACACAAGCAGGTAAACTGTGACTGGAAAAGAAAGTACTTTTTTTTAATAAAGTGAAATTCCCTCTTTATAGCAAATAAAAACAAAAAATCTAAGAAATGCGAAGTTTACCTTGCTAGTAGATGCTTTGTAAGTGGTCTTCAGCTTTTGTGACAATTGACTGGTACTGTGGCTAGCTGGAAACATAAAAAAAGACTTTAAACATACATAATAATAGTTAAGTTCAAACAATTTCCACAAGATGCTAAAACAGAATTCTTCAGCTGGAAAGCCTCAGGTTAAGACACTGCTCTCAAAGTAACTTTTCAGGGCTAGATGGGAGTCTTACTGCCTCTAATGAACCCTCTATGTACTATGCCAGGTATTGGAAGACGCACAATTTAGCAGAATATGAAAACGCAGAATGCTTTGTAAGCATGAGATTATTTCACACAGAGTTTTGTTTCTTGAAAAAGGAGAACATCTTCCATTTGCAAGGTGTAGCTGGGGGAATACTTACACCAGTTTTGTGTCTGCATGTTTCAGATTACAGATAGCACAAGCCTTGAGGCAGGCTAGGTAAACTTCGGTCCTCCAGCTGTTGCAGAGGTTTGCCTACCCCTGCCTTAAGGTATTCACATCTTATTCCATCACATATCCCAAAAATTAGATTCTCAATTTCAGGACAGTGGGCTGAGCCATGCAAATCATTTGTGTCTATCCAACACATCCAAATACACATTCAGAACTGCTGTATATATCCTAATTCTATACAGCCATTTATTCCAAACTGCTTACAAGCCCTACTCCAAAGAAGTAGTGGTTTCCATACATTGCACTGATGATGGCCAAAAAGACTGAAGCAGCTGTATACCTTTTGGAATAAATGACTTAATAATATTAGACAATATTTGCACTATGCATCAGCAGTTCTGAATTTGCATTCAGCTGTTTGGTGTGTAAAGGAATGATTTGCATAACTCTCCTCCATGTCCTTAAACAAGGAATAAACCTCTTATTTTTGCAATATGTGATAAAATGAGACAATGTTTTAATAAGGCCTTATTGTGTTACACAGTAATTAAAGCAGAGGGCATTTTGATTCTTTTAGGCCACAGATGTGAAACTGTGGCCCTCCAGCTGTTGAGGCATTACAATTTTCATCATGCCTCTACCTTTGGGAGTCACGCTTCTAACTGTAAGCATTGCAATGCCTCATGGGATTTGTAGTTCTGCAACAGCTGCAGGGCCGCAGTTTGACACCCCTGGGTCCCTTCGCACCATAACCTGTATGGTCATTCTGTCTAAAATGATAGCCGAGACAGATGGCAAATATTTTGGTCTCATCCATTGTGGGACACAAGAATTCAGATACAGTCAGGATGTCCAGAAGTAGCCCAACTGAGGGATGGGAAACACAGCAAAATATCACAAGTCACACTAGGAGGCGTGGAGCTGCTTACAGCCCAGAAGCCACCTGAATGATGAACGGTGGATTCTGAATGTGTGACTTGGGACCCCCAACCATATAGGGCAACCTGTCAACACAACCAAAGGGAAAGCAAGGTGATTAACCATAACCTACCAAAAACAGGTGAAAAAAAGAACCAATTCCCAGACCAGAAACAAAGACCCAAAATCTAAGGTTGCCAACAGAAGAAAAAAAAAAAACAAAAAAAAAAAACACCTTAGCCTGGCCATACAGGATTCATTTTCAGATTCCCACAGCTACACACTTGTGGATGGGGGAATCCCTCTCGCAGAGCCATTTTATTCTGACAGCAGGAGGACTTTCCCCGTCGGGAATACACTCATCAGTACTGATCAAGCAAAAAATTTCAAATAGGATGGTTGTAAAGACGTCGAATGAGAGATTGACTTCTGTACAACCAGTCTGCCCATAGATGAATCGAAATCCAGCCAGTCCCTGCTGAACCAACCAAATTGCAATCCATCTATGGCCAGCTTTAGAGACAACCCTCAGTAGGAACAGATGCCAACAAGGAATCAATTACAAAAACGCATTGATGGCTTTTTAAGTTTATTACATTTATGGTTTCCTAAACAAAAAAGTCAAAAGTTGTGTTTTTTTTTATATCCCAGTGGAGTTCAGCCTTAAAAGGACAGATACAAGCCCCAGTCCACTTGCTCAGCCTACATCCATAGATATTTATATATAAAAACCAGAACCTCCTCTGCGTAGACATCTAGTCTCATACATTCTCTGTACACACATTTATAGCTAGACAGCACCAAAATGTACAACAGGACATCTTCACACTGATGCTGCAGTTTTAGGCTTGATAACAAGATTGGTTTTGTTGAAAAGCCATTTACCTTTTGTTTTCATTTGACCTTTACTTAATTCAGCTCCATCGATCGTCTGTCCTTCTACTGCCGGGCGTTCATTCAATGTGTCTATTTCACGTCGCACTTCAATATGACAAAAGCAGGGATTAGCATTCAGGAGAAACATTCAAAATCCTTTGCTGTCAGGATGCAAGGTAATGTCATATTTATAAGCGGTTTTTTGATGCACAGACTTGCAATGCGCTGCATTTTTAGTGATAAAGCCACAATATTTGCATTGGCATACTTATAGCAAGGGTTCATATACAAGTGCTGGACTGAGAACCCCAAAGACTGCTTGTAATGTCAGCACTGTTGTAAGCTTTGTGCTATATGGTGGTATCTGGTTGGAGGATTAATACAAATGAAAAGGTACACCAATACCTGCACCAAAAGAGGTGGAGGTCTCCATTTACTTTTATGCAGCACAACATACAGCAAACCTACCCTTAAATCTATATCATCACTGGAGCTATACCCCTAGCATATCCAAAGTGTTATGCCTGGTACACACGTGAAAATGAGAACACATGAGAAAATCTGATTAAAAGACCCACATTCTGAGCGATCGTTAATCTGTTAGCTCTAGAGAGCTGATCATGATAGTTCATGCAAAAATATCCAAAAGGGACAAGAACAAAAGTTTTTCTCATATAACAGAACGCACGATTTTTGTGTAATCAAATAGTATTCGATTACAAAAAAAAAAAAAAAAAAAATTGGAGTCACCAAGACCGTGCATGATCAGAAACAAGAGGACAACCCGGAAGGAAAAATGGCAACAAAAACAATCTCCATGTCCTCTTTTCAAAGACATTCCTGATGGCCAATACGCCAAGGACAGCAAATGGAAGTGCTGGCTTTTGCATTTCCTTTTGTAAAGTACTCCACTTGGAAGATGCAGCTGTTGACTACGAATGAATCTACGTGCGGAGACCAATGCATAATTACACCACGACACTCCGAATGAGTATAGTCGTGGCAAGCATAGGGGGTCACACGTACATTACATCACTTCCAATTACATGCAGGTATGTAGCTATGCGTACTGCATCATATGAGAATTTTTGTACAATTAGTAGCACTCTCCTGTTCGATATGAGCTTAGCATGCAAAAAAACGATCATTTGTCCAATTTTCTCACCGTGTGTACCAGGCATTAGGAAGGCACAAAATGCAGTAGACACATGGAGCAGTGTAGGACAGACACACAGAGTGGGGACAATGTAACAGACACATGAAAAAGTAGTAATGTAGGACAGAAACTAAGTGGGGGCAAAGTAGCAGATGTATGGAGCAGCAGCAGTGTAGAATAAACATGGAGTGGGGGCAATGAAGCAGACACAAGGAGCAGCCGTGTAGAATAGACACAAAATGAGGGTAATGTAGCACCCATACATGGAGCAGGAGCAATGTAGGACAAACACGAAGTGGGTAATTTAATAATGTCATGTATTGCAGTCATTTCCATACTATCTGTTCTGTCTATCCTTAATAAAGCAGAATTGTACATGAAAGATTTATTAGAGCGGTTATTCAGTCAGCCTCTTAAATAAATTCCTTTGTAGAATATTACAACAACCTTCATTAAAGAAACAGTTTTCGGCTTCACGCACACATTCCTGCTTCATTAAAAATGTTAGTCCGTGTGTTTATTCTTTGTCCTTGGACAATAACCACAAAAACAATAAACTTTGCCTTGATGTAGTAAATGACACATCAAAAGGTTTTATCTGCATAGTAAAAGAAGAGGTAGTCAATCACCATCCACACTCATTTGAGATTAAGAAAGCTGGCACCTACCCCTTTATCAATGCCATGTGTCTATAACAAGAACAGGCAGTAACCGATACCAACACAAATATAAAATGAATGAGCCAAAAGCTCTTACAAGATAGTTTCATTTATTTGTTATGATGTAAAAAGCATCTTTCACACTGAATAGTGCTTACTCAGTAGTATTCTATGAATAAGTGCTGTTCAGTATTAAATGCACTAGGGACCTCTTGCTGCTTCTATGTACCTGTTTCAGCACAAAAAAAGATCTGTTGTATTTTTTAACTCTACTTTCAGCAGTGATACAGACATGCACCTGGCTATGAGTTGTGAACAAGCGTGGATCAACCTACAGTGTCAACTGCTGTTTTGTTTTGCACTGCACTGCAGGCACCATATGGTGCCCACTCTTACCTCCTAACCCTGCCACCAGGATCCATTGCTGAACTCTCCACCCCGAACGAACAAATTAAAACTTGTACACTATTAACCCCTTAGCTTTCTACCACATGCATATTAAAGTCTTGACTTGTGGAGAGGGCAATTTAATCTAAGTTCAACCTTTGAAAGGTAACAGCAGATACCATATGAAGCTGCTAGCTGTCAGACTAGGCTGGATCCTGCAGATCAAGCAGAAAAGTATGTATGTATGCATACACATACACACTGTATATACAGCATGTAAAATAAGTATTTTATATTTGTAAAGATTCTATTGACATGGTGTTTTCACATGCTGGTAACAACCCATGCAATCCATACATACAAAGAAACCTAAACAAATACTTCAGAAATAAAGTTATGTGTAATAAAATGGAATGGCATAGAGAAAAAGTATTGAATACATGAAGAAAGGGAGGTGCAAAAAGACATGGAAACACAAGACACCAACTGAAATCTATTAGAAAGCAATCCTGCCCCTTGTCGGTGCAAATTAATATCAGCTGGTTCAGTCTCAACTGATGGCCTAAAAAAAGGTGTCTCATTACCAAGGTGTCAAACAAGAAGCATCTCATGATGGATAAAAGCAAAGAGTCCTCTCAAAATCTTCACAACCTTTATTGTTGCAAAACATACTGATGGCATTGGTTACATGAGGATTTCTAAACTGAATGTTCTAGTGAGCACTGTTGGGGCCATAATCCGAAAGTGGAAAGAACATCACTTCACCATAAACTGGTCAGGACCAAGTGCCCCTTGCAAGATTTCTGACAGAGTGGAAAGAACTATCAGAAGTTGTCCAAGAGCCAAGGACCACTTGTGGACAGCTTCAGAAAGACCAGGAATTAGCAGGTATAATTGTTTTAAGGAAAACAATAAGTGATGCACTCAACCTGTATGCACACTCACCACGCAAGACTCCATTGCTGCAGAAAAAGCATGTTGATGCTTGTTTAAAGTTCGCTGCACAACATTTAGACAAGCCTGTGAAATACTGGGAGAATATAGTCTGGTCAAAGGAGACCAAAACTGAAATCTTTCGATGTCATAATACACACCATGTTTGGAGGTCAAATGACACCATACATCACCCCAAAAACCATACCAACAGTGAAGATTGGAGGTGGGAACATCATGGTGTGGGGCTGTTTTTCAGCATCTGGTACTGGCAAACGTCATATCATTGAATGAAGGATGAATGGAAAAATGTACCAAGACATTCTTGATAAAAATCTGCTGCCATCTACCAGGATGATGAAGATGAAATGAGGGTGGACATTTCTGCAAGACAATGATCCAAAACACCAAGCCAGGGAAACGCAATTGGTAAAAAAAAAAATAAAAAATAGAGTAGAGTTGCTAGAATGGTCCAGCCAATCACCTGACTTGAATCCAATAGAAAATCTATGGAAAGAACTAAAGATCAGAGTTCATACAAGAGGCCCATGAAACCTTCAAGATTTGAAGACTGTGTGGAAGAGTGGGCCAAAATCACACCTGAGTAATGCATGCAACTAGTTTCTCTACACAAGAGGCATCTTGAAGCTGTCATTACCAACAAAGGATTTGTACGACGTACTAAATAAATTTCAGTTAGCATATTCAATACTTTTTTTCCTGTGTCATTCCATTTTATTACATATAACTTAAAGTGGTTGTAAAGGCTGAAGGTTTTTTACCTTCATGCATTCTTTGCATAAAGGTAAAAAACCTTCTGTATGTAGCACTGCCCCTAGCCCCCATAATATTTACCTGAGCCTCATCGTAATCCAGCCTCCTCATTGGCTGAGACAGCAAGTGGGAGCCACTTGCTTCCGCTGCTGTCAATCACAGACAGTCAGCCATTGAGGAGAGGGGGCGGGGCCAAGCCACAGCTCTGTGTGTGCATGGACACATGCAGTAGTGCGGGTGCCCCATAGCAAGCTGCTTGCTGTGGGGGAACCGGAAGACAGGAGGAGCCAGGAGAGCCTGCAGGGAACCTGAGAAGAGGAGGATCCAGGCTGCTCTGTGCAAAACCACTGCACACAGTAGGTAAGTATGACATGTTTGTTATCTTACACACACAAAAAATTAACCTTTAGAATCGCTTTCATTTCTGAACCTATTTGTTTTGGTTTCTTTGTATGTATGGATCACATGGGATTTTACCGACATGTGGTGAAAATTCATGTCAATAGCTCTTTTAGAAATAAATTTACTGAGAAAAATGCTGATGTGTTCATTACTTATTTTACCAGATGTATATGAGCCTGAAGATGACAGGGTGCCCCTGCTGAATAATGCAATTGTAAGCTACAGTTATTGCATTAAAAAATAAAAAAACTTATGTGATGATATATAAATGATTTTTGTCAATCTGTCAGACTACAATGCAAAACATAAGCAAGGAATTTATTAAAATTGTACACCATATAAAAAGTCTTATAAGTCCTTAAGATGAAAATGTAAACATTATTTAGGTAGGATAAATGATAACATATTGATGTTAATTGACCTAGCATATAGTTACTCTCCTAAACTTGGCCTGAACATCCAGGCTTCAATGACCTCTGCTCACTTAAAGGTTAAGCCAGCTCCCCATTCTCTCACAATACAGGCCTGGTGACTAGTCGCTCTTTACAGACACAGATTCTCGCAGGAAGGGAAGAGCTAAGAATATGAACTGTAAGGTGCCTTCTATGCTACTGCTTCAGGTTAAAGATGTTTTTAATTTTTAAGATAACACTGCAGTGTAATACGAAATCCTGATTGGATCTGGTATTACAATGATATATGTCTGGATACTGAAACATTTGTCAAAATGCTATTTAATTAGTTAAATGGTACATGTATAAAGTATGATAGGGACGTACATAAAAAAGTGAAATGTCTCATCAAATAGGCTTTGTTCAACATGGTTGACTGCATTCAATGCAACTCGGTCTGCAATGGATGGCTGCAATGAGTTCAATGATGAACTAGTAAACCATAGCATCAATGTAGGTATGCACATCAAACATTTTCTCCTGCCACAGATCTCTTTAATTCAAACCAGGTAAGAGTTGTTTCCCCAACCGTAAGATCAGCCACATTCATTCAGTACTTACATTCCAAGTTCTCAATATAAAAGGTTCTCAAATTCCCTTTTCTATTTGTCCAAAAAGCTCCAAGAGTGTATTGCGCACAGAAGATGGCAGCTTGGAATCCTACATAAGAAAAACAAAAGATAAAAAATAAGAATTGTACTCACTGCAATTGTGATACTGCTGTCAAAATTATATGACATAATGAGACATACTCTGAGAACTTCCATATGTATAACATTACACACTGTATAGGGAAGAAGAGTAGGCACTACCTTGTTTTTTTCTCAGTTCATACATCTTATATATTTGTGATATTTATCAAAAAAGAGGGGTTTCATGTACTTATGAAGTGTGCCCTAGTTAATATAGGGAAAAGGGCAGTCCAACCATGTAAAAGAGATCAGTTTGATATAAACCTAATCAATATGTATCAACATTTTAGGTCCGTGTTCTTATATGTGCAAAGCTGGTTTCAGTGTGATTTGTAAAAGGAGTCAGCACAGTTTTGTTAACCGGTGCAGGTTCAATTTTTTTAAAAAGTGTATATAACACTTGAATTCGCACTGAAAATCATACCAGACTTTTTAAAAAAACGCACTGCTGCTGGCTCGCACATACGTGAACCAGCTCCATAGAAAGTCGGTTTGGTTTCACATGTCATGCGAATAGGATGTCGTTCAAAAATGCATCAAAGTCGTATATATATATATACAGTCATGGCCGAAATTGTTGGCACACCCTTGATATTTCCACCTCCAGGAAAATCATGTATTTCTCACGAAACGTATTGCATTAACTACATGTTTTGCTATACACATGTTTATTCCCTTTGTGTGTATTGGGACAAAAACAAAAAAAGGGAGGAAAAAGAAAGCAAATTCGACATAATGTCACACAAACCTCCAAAAATGGGCTGGACAAAAGTAAGTTGGCACCCTTTCACAACTGCGGATAAATAAGAATGTTACAAGCATGTGATGCTCCTGTAAACTCACCTGGGGCAAGTAACAGGTGTGGGCAATATAGAAATCACACTGAAAGCAGATAAAAATAGAGAGACGTTCTACTTAACCTTTGCATTGTGTGTCTGTCTGTGCCACACTAAGCATGGACAACAGAAAGAGGAGACGAGAAAGCTGTCTGAGGACCTGAGAACCAAAATTGTGGCAAAAATATCAACAATCTAAGGTTACAAGTCCATCTCCAGAGAACTAGATTTGCCTTTCTCCACAGTGCGCAACATTATCAAGAAGTTTGCAACCCATGGCACTGTAGCTAATCTCCCTGGTCGTGGACTGGACCGAAAAATGATGGATTGAAAATAGTCATGATCAATATAGCAGCTTTGAAGCAGTAACGCAGATACCGGATGTGGATATGAAAGATGACAGGGTGCCCCATGTTCAAATGCATTGTAAGCTACAGTTATTGGCTTAGGGAGCATCTTATGTCAGCGCGCGATATACAATGACATTTTTGAATGAAACGCTACATGGCAGGAGACCCAGGAAGGACCCCATGCTGACATTGTAGAGACATAAAAAAGCTTAAGACCTACAGTTTGCCAAAATGTACTTGAGGATAAGCCAAAAGTTAATTCCTGGGAAAAACGTAAACTTGTGGACATCATGGACTTCAATGATAGAGCTTTTCGGTAAAGCACATCATTCTACTACAGTTGGTGACTAGTCGCTCTTTACAGACAAGATTCGGGAATGAGAGCTACAAATATGAACAAAAGGTGCACTATGTACTGCTACGGTTAAAGATGTTTTAATTTTTAAGATAACACTGCAGTGTAATACGAAATCCTGATTGGATCTGGTATTACAATGATATATGTCTGGATACTGAAACATTTGTCAAAATGCCTATTTAATTAGTTTAAATGGCATCATGTAAAGTCTGATAGGGATTACCAAAAAAGTGATTTTGGGTCTCATCAAAAGGGCACCCAGTGTCAGATATGGGGTTGACTGCATCAATGCAACTCCTGGGTCTGCAATGGAGGCTGCACAATGAGTTCAATGAAACATAGTAAAACCATAGCACTCAGAATAGGTATGGCAAAATTTTCTCTGCCACAGATCTCTTTAGTCAAACCAGGTAAGAATGTTTCCCCAACCGTAAGATCAGCCACATTCAAGTACTTACATTCCAAGTTCTCAATATAAAAGGTTCTCAAAAGGTTTCTATTTGTCCAAAAAGCTCCAAGAGTGTATTGCGCACAGAAGATGGCAGCTTGGAATTCCGGGTAAGAAAAACAAAAGATAAAAATATAGAATTGTACTCACTGCAATTGTGATACTGCTGTCAAAATATATGACATAATGAGACATACTCTGAGAACTTCCATATGTATAACATTACACACTGTATAGGGAAGAAGAGTAGTAGCACTACCTTGTTTTTTTCTCAGTTCATACATCTTATATATTTGTGATATTTATTTATCAAAAAAGGGGTTCAAGTACTTAGGTGTGCCCTAGTTACTATAGGTCCAGTCCAACCATGTAAAAGAGATCAGTTTGATATAAACCTAATTTGTATCACATTTTAGGTCATATTTGCTTATATGTGCAAAGCTGTTTCAGTGTGATTTGTAAAAGGATCAAGCACAGTTTTGATCACCGGTGCAGGTTCAAAACATTTTTTAAAAAGTGTATATAACACTTGAAATCGCACTGAAAACTCATTTTCAGGAAAAATAAACGCAAGGCTGGCTCACATACGTGAACCAGCTCCATAGAAAGTCGGTTTGGTTCACATGTCATGCGAATAGGATGTCGTTCAAAATGCATAAAGTCGTGTATATATATATAGTATATATATATATTATATATATATATATTTATACCCAGTTCATATATATATATATATAATTATATGAACTGGGTCTAAAACAGTTTTCCTATCTATAGTTTGTAATTCTACATTGACATGGGGCAAGCCTTATTTGCCCAATAAATACACAGGCTCTCCCTTCTGTTTTGCAGCTCTAACATCCATTCTGTTTTACTGCTGCTCCCATTCACAATATAGTTAACCACTTGAAGACCAAGCTTTTTTTTTGGTACATTTGCTTACACGTTTAAATCAGTTTTATTTTTTGGCTAGAAAATGACTTACAAGCCCAAAACATTTTAATATATATATATATATATATATATATATATATATATATATATATATATAAAATAAAACACATATACATATGCACTGGATATAAAAAGTCTACACACCCCTGCTAAGATGTCAGGTTTCTGTGATTTAAAAAAATGAGTCAAAGATAAATAATTTCAGAACTTTTTCCACCTTTTAATGTGACCTATAAAACTGCACATCTTGCATGAAAAACAAGCTGAAATCTTTTAAGGGGGGGGGGGTAAACATAATAAATAAAATAATGTGGTTTCAGAAGTGTTTACACCCTCTTATAAGTGGGGATGTAGCTGTGTTCAGAATTAAGCAATCACATTCACAATCATGTTAAATAGGAGTCAGTACACACCTGTCATCATTTAAAGTGCCTCTGATTAACCCCAAATAAAGTTCAGCTGTTCAGAGGGATCTCATTGTTAAAAGGTATGGGTGATTTCTTCAGCCATAACCCCAGTAAACCACTTGAAAAATGCAACATTTATATACGTATTGCGGTCTTTCTAGTGGTTAAATCAGTCAGCAGATACAAAAACAATGCTTTTAATGCTTCTCTATTTTCTCTCAACAGCTATTAAAACCTAAACAACTTTTTTCTACAATTCAAAGAAAAAACAAAAAAAGTGTACAAGCAGCAGCTCTCACAGCTACTCAGCTCAGCTCTGATGCTGTCACCCACCCATTCAATGCTCCGTGATCCAGCAACAGTCCTTTTCTGGATTGAATGATGCTGAGCTTTATGTAACCTACTTCCTGTAAGCCTAGGCTGTCATGGACACACCTCCTGGGAATACATCACGCTTCCTAGGCTTATAGTACCTGGTCAGATTGGCGCCCACATGTCAATACGTGAGTGTGCTCAGTACAGAAATAATGACAGCCAACCATTTCTGCCAGATGAGAAAAGGAGATACTCGTGACATCACCAGACATTCCCCACACTATTAAAATAAAATGTTTTGGATGTAGGTGGGCTTTAAAGCCAAGGTGTAGCCAAAATTAAAAATGGAAGCTGTACTATAGCTTCTATGAATGAAACAGAATCTACGAATGGAGGGTGGGTGGATGATTGATAGCTCTGCCCCCCTCCATTCATAGATACGGTTTCCATTCTAAGAAGCTGTAGTACAGCTTCTATTAATAGAAGAGCTGGATGGATAGGGTGGGCATAGTTGGGCTCTCTTCATAAGAGCCTGTAACAAGCCCATTAGTTGTATTAACCCCTGCTTTATGGTGGTGGAGAGCAGAGATGGAGGAGGATTTCAGTTACAAGAAGAGGAATCAGCATCCTACTGACTGTGCCGATTTTCAGTTTTTAATGCTAGCTATACCTAGGCTTCAAAAGTATAACTAAAGGCAAAAAAACGTACTTGGCGCCGGCGAGTAATCACCGGCTGGGACCCAGTGATTCATAGCAGTGACCGCATGCGCCCCCTACCCGTAAATGCAAAATCACGTATATATACACACAAGTGATTTTGCACACCCCTGCTGCCCTGTAGAAGTATTTCTACTATAGGGTGCCGGGAAAGCGGTTAAATGATGTGTAGCGGTAGACTGCAGGTAGCACAGTGGCTAAGCAGTTAGCACGTCTGCTTGGCAGTACTAGGGTCGTCAGTTCAAATCCAAACCACGGCACCACCTGTATGACGTCTGCACGTTCTTCCTGTGCCTGCGACGGTTTCCTCCGGGTACGCCAGTTTCCTCCCACACTCCAAAGATATGTTGGTAGATTAACTGGCTCCTGTCTAAATTGGCCCTAGAGCGTTTATGAATGTAAGTTAGGGACCTTAGATTATAAACTTCTTGAGGGCAGGGACTGATGTGTATATACAATATATGCACTATGTGAAGCGCTGCGTAAATTGTCAGAGCTATACAAGTACCTGTAATAAATAATAAAAAGCTGGTGGGACAAAAAAGAGGGAGCTACCATAAAAAGAGGCAAAGCAATGAATCCT